TTGTTCTAAAACATTAAAGATAATTTATTATAAAATAGTTAACTGGTCAAATTGTTCAACCAACTTTATTATTAGTCAATAAAATTCACAGACCTTAAATTTCTATGCAGAAATCAATCTTTACTGGAGAAAATTTTACATAATTTATTTTTACCTTTCCAAATAAAAAGTAGAGGGGTTTAACTCTATGATTCTAGCCTGATGTCAGTCAAAAATAAAGTATGACAATAAATGTAGATCTACTTTCCTTTAAAGGCATCTTTGAAAGGAGCAATAGGAAGGACAGCAATGTACACCTTCGCCAGAACTGAATTTCAAAGGCCTTCTTCGGCCTGTTTTCCACATGAGAAGAATTAGAGAACTTTTTGCCTTTCATTTTCCATTATGAGAACCTAAATGGGCCAATAAGTCCCGGCTATGTAGGTCCCCATGTGGTAGATGCAGCAGCAGCTATAGTGTGAGGAATGTAGGACACAGTAATCTGTGCAGCTGACTTCTGTGAACTGTAGTGGCAAATTTAAGAAAAGAAAAAGGAAGGAAAAAAAGAGAAAAAGAAAAAACTTTAGCACTTCAGCTAAATCACTCAAAAAACTTCCTTCAACTGGGTCTGCTGCATTAATGAGATCTTAGAACAGAACTGCTGATTTAGATTTAAATACTTTGGTGAGGAGCTTTACTATGATAAACTAAAACGCCAGAGTTTATAAAAATAATTGGATGTGAAAATAAATGCTATTTTTTACATGAATCATCACTCTGGATTAAAAGAAGCTTAAATTAAAATGGAATCCTCTGAATTTAATTAAATGGTTTTTTAAAATTGTTTTAAGGGCACTTAAATAATGTAGAAAACTACATCTATTTTGTCTAGTAATTCAACTCTTTAAAAATTGTGGTAATTTAAAATTATGACAACTCTAATGTAAAATTAGCCAAAAGTAAATAAAATTTGAGTAAACAATGTAATTTTATCTGGTGCACATTTTATCAATATTCTTGTTATTCAAATGTCTCCCCCTCTTTTTTTGCAAAATCTGCTTAGTTTAACTGATTTTGCATGTAGTTTTATATACTACCTAATGTTTGAATGAATATTCAAAAAACAATCATCTCATTATTGTTAAAGCAATCATCTCTAAAAAATACAACTACTAAACAAACCACAGTCAAACTTTTCAGCTACACTAGTTTATTGGCTCTCTAAAAACAACTCTGAGCCAAAAGTTCTTACATATTTTTTCAGCAAGTGAAATATGTAGTGAAACCCATGACAAACATACTATATCTAAGGTGCTGAAAATTTCGCTTTGCCTACAATGGTAAGTAAAATAAACATTTATTATTTGATAAGGGAAAGTATTATTTCAACAAGAAATAGTATATATGAATCATCACATTTATAAGAATACTACTGCCCAGTGCACGAATTTATGCACACTGAAAGGAAATTAATTAGAATATTTTAATATCGCTATTTGCCCTTTCTCTATAATAGAAGTATCAACCAAATTTATGATCGACAATGATAGATAGAAACACATGCGTGTGATTGGCGCCAGTGAGAGCTTTATATGTATTGCGCATGTGTGAGTCAATTTAGCCATATATATATATATATATATATATATATATATGAATAAACTTGCTTAATTAGACCTGCTTTCTGATTTAGCTAAACTTTTTTCCAGCCCAGTGAAGCACCCCGACTTCTCTTTCAGGTAACTGTCAGCAACACAGCAGTAAATATCAACAAAAAGCAGATTATTATTGTAGGTCACACAGGGAGAACAAAGGGTAAAATATTTAACTGCAGCAGTGTTTGACTATATTCTGCGCAGTGAGAAAACCTAAAGTCATTCTCAAGGTCCACCATTTCTTACTTCTTTTCAGTCGAGTCAAGTTTCTAAGCTTTCTAAATCTCCGTTTTCTGGCTAATGAGAAGAAAATAGGATTCCACCGAGTCTCCTATCTACCTATTCCAGGATTTCCGTGAGGGTCAAATGAGATGAGGCATGGGAAAATGCTTCACAGACATCTGGTTAAAATGAAAAATGTTTGCACCTGACTATAAAGCAAATCGTGTTCCTAGGCTGAAGAAACTGCAAGGAGGCTAGTAGTTTAGGAGAGGAAGCCAGGCATTGCTACTTGCCATCATTACCCAGACGGACACTAGCATATTAACCTTTTATATATATAGATACAAGAGGATTATATTTTCCACAAAAGCTAAAAGAAGCTGGTGTTGCTTAGTGGTTAACTGTTGACCTATGAACCAGGAGGTCAAGGTTTGATTCCTGGTCAGGGCATCTGACTGAACTGGGAGCTCGATCCCCACTGTGGGGCATTCGGGGGGCAGCTGATCAATGATTCTCTTATCATTGATGTTTCTATCTCTCCCCCTCCCTTCCTTTCTAAAATCAATAAAAAATATTAAAAATACTTTTTTTTAAGCTAAAAGAAGGTGTTTTTCTTTTTTTGTTTTTTTGTCAGTACTGACTCCGGAGGTGAAACAGGCTCCTGTGGAGACTCTGTGAATATCATTACCAGCATCATCATCAATGACCCAGGGAGGCCTGGAACTGTGGGTTCATACAGAATAAAAAGAACTTTCCCCCTAAAATCCCTTTATATGCATATGTTCCAAGGAGTCCTAAAAGCAGTAATCTTACAAACAAAATATACAGAAGTTAAGTGATCAGAGGCTACCTTGGACGGAATCATGGCAAGATTTAAATGATAACTAGCCTAGGTACCCATCTTTCACAGGAATTTATGGCATATGGTCACTTAGGGCTCTTCATAAACACCCACATTGATGCAGGTCTCATGAATTCAAAATATAGCCCACAGATGTTTGGAAAGCTCTGTTAGAAAGATCATCTTCTTTATTAAGATAAAGATGCTTTATCCTTTAAAAAAATATCCCATAGATCCATCTTAGTTTTGTCCTGTGGAGTGTTGCAGGATAGTCAGAATTCCTTTTCTTACCTGATAGCTTTCATGCCCTTACTTTTAGAAGTTAAGTCTTTCCACTGGATTTTATGGAAGTGAGCTACAATATCCAAAAAATCCCCCTTACTTTATTTTCTGGTCACATTCTTGCTGCTAGAGTTACATTCTGCCAAGGTCTGTCTCAAAAGGTAGTGCTCATTATAAATACAACATTAAAATGTGGTCATCACTGCAAACTCCAATAGGATAATCACCTCCCTCGTTAGCATACCATCATTAGTCAAATTTTAAAATGCATTAACTTTTGCAACAACTTTCTACTACAAATACCAAGCTTGTTGCCAACAAATCCATGGTCATTGATTATGTAGTGGATTTCCTGGACTCACACCAGAACTTCACACTTATATGTATTGCTATAAAATAGTATTATGCCATCAAATATGTTAACACGAATCCCTATATTTGAGGCTTGTGTCATCTTGAAAAATACCAAAATGCTCTATTTGCCTTCCTACCTAACTCATACTCTTCAGTTTCACAATTTGAGCAATGTTGACCTTCAAGTCACTGTTTACATTAGCCTTTCTCAAGTCATCATCTAATAACACTCAAGAATCTCCAAGGAAAACGTTTTCTTGTATGGCAATTTACATTAAAGAAATTTCACCTGAGACATCGCTTTTCACTTGTTTACTTTTAAAACTGGTTTTATAGAAAACATCTCCCTAAGAGTGTGTCCTGACAGTTCATCTGGAAGTGAGACTAAGTGGTTGTTCAAAACACAGGCAATGATGTGCTCAATTCCATCTCTGCGGCAGGACGAACAAGGTCACACCACCAGCAAACCTGTCCATGGATAAGAACATGCACATAGACACACAGGGCACATGTGGAAAACAAAGGTACGCTACTTTAGTCTAGTTAGAGTTGTCCTCTTTACAAGAAACTTTTACCTCCCTCTTTCTTCCCTCTTTCAAGGCCGTATTTTCTTTCCAGCAAAGACAATTCATTAGTGAGAGTTCTGCAAGATCTCAGTCTCTATACTCCCCATCACAGCCTTCCAGTTAACTGAAGCTCATCTATGTGGCAGGCCTGAGCTTCTCCATCCAGCCACTGCTCAGATACACGACCCCGCCTCCCCCAATCCGACGCCAGAGGAGGGTGCAACCACAGAGAACTTCCACTCCAACGGGGCAATCCCCGCGTGGAGTACATTCGGGTGACCGTGTCTCTCCTCCAGACACCCCAACCCTAGAACCCCTTCCTCGAGCCGCGCCTTCCCTGCGAGCCTGCTCCCGCGGGCCAGCTCGGGGTGCGCGCCCGGGTTAGTCAGTGCGCACGTGACGCGCGGTGCCCACATGACACGGCCATGGGCGGGGGAGGGGGTCAGAGCGGCGAAGCAGGGAAAAAGTTCAGGAAGACCGGTCCCAGCGCCCAAAGCGGTCGGTCCCCTCCGTGCTTGGTCTAGTGGTGGCTCAGGGTTCCCCAGGGGACGGCTGCGGATCAAGGCACCTAGGGTCCAGCTTCCCAAAAACGGGGGAAGGGGGTGGGGGGACGGATGTCGGGCGCAGTTCTCCTGTCTCCCCGCCACCTTCCGCTCCTCTCCGCCCAGCGGGTGATGCTGCTGCACCCTCAAGTTGCTCCTTCCTCCCCTTTCTCCCTCCTTTTTATTGCCCCTACTTTCTTTCCTCCCTCCCGCCCTTCCTTCCTCCCTTCCCTCCCTCCCCTGAAAGCTCTCCATCCACTGCGGGCGCTGCCACTGACGCACATTGAATTTGCCCCCGGAGCTCGCCCGCATCTCCGAGGTCAGACACCAGGCCGAGCCCCTTCCACCGGGCGGCGTGTAACAGCGCAAACAAAGTTGTACGCGGCGCCGAAACCTGCCCTCGCTCCCAAGGCGCCCCCCGTTCGAATCCTGCGCCAAGCTCCCCGGCTCAGCCGGTGCAGCCTCGACCTCACCGCACCCCCGGGCAACACACCCCCTTCCCGGGCGAGCCCACCCTCCCGGCGCCCCGCGCCCCCGGCGGTCCGGCCGCCGCGCTCACCTTGCTTGACACACTTGAGCCGCAGGGGGTCCTTGCAGTGTTTGATGACGGCCAGCACGTCCCTGATGGTGAGCCCCGCCACGGGGGTCTCGTTCACCTCCAGCAGGAGCTCCTCCGACACCAACTTGCTGCCGCTCTCATAGGCCACCTTGCCGGGCTTCACCTCCCCCAGGTAGGGGAACTGGCCGTTCTCCGCACCCCCCTTCAGCTCGAAGCCCAGCTGGCCCTCCGGGTTCCTGCCAATGACACTCTCGTGGACTTTGCTGGTCCAGTGGCTTTTCTTTTTCAAGCTTTTGGACATGGCAGTGGGGCGAGTCGCCTCGGCTCCTGAGGGGTTCCTCCGGGGCAGGGGTGTGGGCGGTGAGAGGATGAGGATGGAGGAGCCGGGGTGGGGGGCCCAGAGGTGAGAAGAGCGGACTTTGCTTTCCTCCCACCTCTGTTCGGCGCTTTCCCTCTTCTTGGGATGGAGTGTGGACGCGGACGGGGAGGGAGGAGCGGGGCGGCTGGGCAGAGGTGGGAGAGCTGGGGTGAGGTGGTGCTGTCCCTGGAATGACACTCAGGGCTGTGGCCCCGCAGCGGAGAGCAGTGGCGGCGGCGGCGGCCCGAGCGAGCAGTGGCGGAGCGGGGAGCGGGTGGGGTGGGGGTGGTGACGGCGGGCAGGGATGCCGGGGGCCACTCCTGCGCCGTGCGAGTGGGAGCGCGCGCCTGGGTGTGTGGTGTTAGCTGATGTCCATGGCAGCTGCAGTGGCAGCGGCGGATCCGCGCGCGTGTGCGTGTGCGTGTGGTGTGTGTGTGTGTGTGAGTGTGTGTACTAGTTGTACTGTATGGGCAGGAGGGGAGGAGGGGAGGAGGCGGCGGGAGCCGGCTGCGGGAGGAGGGGCGCGCGCCTGCCGGGGGGCCGCTTCGCCGCCGTCTCCGCGCCCTCCCTCCGCAGCTTGACCCGGTAGTGAAGGCGGAGAGAGAGGCAGGCCGGGGCCGCCTGGCAGCCCGCGAGGGGAGGCGGGAGCGGGGAAGGAGGGGAGCCGAGGCCCGGCGCGGGGAGGCCGGCAGGCAGGCAGGCCGGGCGCCCAGGGCGGACCTGGCTTCGGCCTCCCAGCGGCGAGCGGAGCTGGGCTGCGGCGCGGAGAGGGCGCCCCAGATCCCGCGGGCCGCGCGGGAGCCGCACGGCGAGCCTGGAGGGGAGCGCGTCCCGGGCCCGCGCGCCGCCCGCCCCTGCGCGGGGTCCCGCCCGGGGAGAGCCGCCTGCGGGGCCCGGGCGCGGGGAGCCGGGAGGCCGGCGGAGGGGCTCGCAGTGCAGAGGTTTCGACTCTTCCGGTTTCCAGCCGGACTGGAGACAGAGTTCTCAGAATTCCCCCTCGAGGGGCAGAAAGTTCGAGAGCTGCAGGTTGGGCGCCAGAGGGGGGACGGCAAAGCTGCACCCCTTTCCCCGGGACGGGGCCTGAGCGCAGGGCGGAATGGCTGGTGAAAGGCGATTCCCGGGAGCGAGGGGAAGGGGCTTCAGGTTTCCTTGTTGGAGGAGCGGAAAGGGGCCGCGGGTTGGGGGGCTGGGGAGAGGGGTGCGGCGAGCAGCCTCCTGGGAGAAATGGACAGTTTAACCCACGCCCTGGAAAGCCCTCCGACTCGGACCTGTAACTTGGGAAGAAACCTTAAGAGGGCCTGGCCCGACCACCTCCTGCTGCAGAGAAGGAGAAGAAGGCTCCGAGGGTGGACACTGCGGCCCATCGGGCCGGATCTCAGCTCGCGGGCCGCCACCAGGCTCCTTAACCTCCAGCAGGTCCTCGGCCAGGAGGAGAGGTGAGGCCAGGGGCGCACGGATGCTGGAGGGCTGCCGATTTCCACTCAGCCGCGAATTTCCTGCGAGCTGTTAGGGGTGATGTTCAGTGTTTTTGTGACTGGTAAATGATTTGCACTTGCTTTACTTTCAAATGATAACTTTAAGACAGAAAAGGAATCGCACACCTACTCATCTCCTTAACGCGTGAAAAGCACCGAGCAGTTTGGAATCTTGATGTCTGAGATGAAGATGGTGTGGGAGGCAAGCGGGATAGTTAGAAATGTTTTGTCAACCCAAACAGAAAGGCCGGGTTTGGTTTCGGGCCCTGCTACTTACCAAGAGTGTGATCTTCAGTGTGTTGCTTGACCTTTCCGAGCATCAGTTTCCGCATTGGTTAACTAGGGTTGGAAGGACTCATCCTGGGATAAGAATGAAATCAGGTTAATGCATGCAAAGTGCTTGCCTGACACAGGTGGGTAGCACTTAAAATGTTAATTTCCTTCCTTTTTCCCCTCTCAAGTGTAACTCATTATTTGGGGAAAAAGGTGAATCAGATTTAGTCAGAACTGGAAGAGATATGAAAGAGAGATGATTTGTTTAACCATGTGTCTCTTTTCACTTGAGAAACCAGATCCCCAGTGAGTTGGCTGCCACTGATGAGGATTATTCAGTGAGCCAGGGGCGGTGCCAGGATCTGAAACCAGAGCTACAGGCAATGCCCAAAGAAGTCGGCTTTTAGCGTTATAAGACACAATCCCAAGTGGAAATTGATAATAAGAACTAGTTATTTTTAAACACCAATTATAGACTAACATGTATGGGCAATACTAGTATTTATCAAGTTCTAACTGCATGCTAGATGTTACCCTATAGCTTTATATATATTAATTTATTTCTCCTGACATCTTAATAAAGAAGGTACTCTTACCATCCCCTTTTATAGATAAGGAAATTAACTTTTGCAAGCCTGAAAATTTAGCCAGTGGGGAAACTAATATTTGCACTCAAGTATTTTGGCTCCAGAACTGGTCTCAATCACTGTATTGTCCCTCTCCCCTTGCCCTTACAATGTGTCATACCAGTGTCCCCAAAGGTTTGGTCTGCGTTTTATTGTAGGGATAATTAGGAAAAAACAAAACAAATGGAACAGGAGTTTGGAATAAAAGCGTTTTACCCTCTAGAATCCAGGAAAGTCATTGAGGGGTGTGTCAGCTAATTGAGTGTTTCTCAGCTCCTAATTCTTCTTTGCCCTAAGTTGTGATTTTAGAGTTAGAACCTATGAACATTTCTTTGATGTTATTTGGTATAGTGTTAGGACTTGTCAGTAGAAGGTGCGAGAGGGACCCTACATAAAAAGGGGACTTCTCTTCTTGGTTCCAATGCTTTTCTCCTTGCTTCTCTGGTGTAGTAGTGGGTGGCTTTCTGGCCAGTGATGGGTAAGAAACCAGTGTTTTACACCCTCCAGTAAGTTTGGTGAGTTCTCTAGTGTGTGGCTTCCCAGTAAGCCTTGCTGGAGTCCCAGGGGGTAGTTTCCTAGCACATTTCACTGGCACCCCAGCTGGTGGTTTCCTCACCAGCCCAGTCTGTGACACCTCAACCAATTTTTTGGCCATCAAGTGGGCCGCAGGCACATTATTCCCTATGAGGACATGGGTGGGGATTGGGGAATTCTTTTAAATTATCCCACACCCCTGGAGGCACACGGGACTCCGGCTTCCCTGGCAGCCCAGGCTTCTTTGTCTGGAAGATTGTCAGAAAGGACGTCCAGTCTAATTAGCATATTACTTTTTTTTTATTACAGATTTCTCCTGATTTCTGTCTCCTGACTGGCCCTTGACTGATACAAGGCTAAAGAGACCATGTAGATCATGTAGAACACTGAGTAGAATTTTGTCCCTGGAGTCAGAAGTTGGCATCCTGTCTTTAGCTGTGCAAACTTGACTAAGTCACTTAAACTCCCAGAGCTTGTCCCCTCATTTGTAAAAAATGTATGACAAGGTTTTGTGAGCATCATGTAAAATTTGAAAGCACTTTAATTACATTTAAATGTGAGTGCACTTTAAACCTGTAAAGTGCTATCACAAGTAAAGGTGTTAATTATCAGTATAGGAACAGGGTAGCAAAGAAGAAGATTTTCTTTAAGAAAAAAATTGCATGCGTTCTGGGTACTTAGTTTGTTTCCTGGGGGTAAAAGCAGCATTTTCTCTAGGATTTATTCTCGTCAAGTAAATATATTATTGGTTGGTTGGTTGGCTGGTTGGTTGACTTTGCCTAGCTTTTTAAAGATAAAAATAATTTCTAGTCTCAAGTAGTTCAAGTTTCTAGCTCTATGAAAAATACAACTACAAACGCAAACATTTTGAAATGCGAGATTCAGACTAATTTGGTTACTTTCTAGTCTGGTATCCTTCATATTTGCTTTATTTTTATTTTGTCTCCTGTACCCTTTCTGGGTATAATGTCTGTGTCAAAGAATTATTTCATTGCTGAGCACTCTATGTGTAAAGCATGACACTAGATATTGCAGCTATTCCAAAAGAAAAATAGTTTAGGAGTCTTAAATGCTCAAGAAAGGAAAGCATGTGTGCATTCAGTCTTTAGAAGGGTTCTCTGAGGTAAATGCTTGTGGGAGATTCTACCCCATCCCCTTGGATCCCTCCCATTGGGTCTGGGTGCCCTTCCCCCAGCTTCTGTGTTCTTTTACTTCTCACAGCCATCCCCTGCCACTCTCTGTGGAAGATTGCCCAAAAGCTCCTGGATTCACTTTGCCTTCAGGCACAGACAGCCAGAGAGAACCATCTGGGAGTTAACTTCCCTCCCAGTGCACCTTTCCCAAGGACTGCCCTCCAGAGCATAAAAGCCCAGCCCTATTGCCTCGAATAGTAAGAAAACTTGAGATGTCATGTATACCCCAAAGCTCCCCTGCAGGATCATGCTGATGCGAGGGTTTTGCCTGAAATCGTTTCCCTCCATGTCTTGCTTACTCTGGTAACTTAGGTATTTTTTCCTGGAGGCATTTCCTTAATAAATCATGTGCACACAGTCCTCATCTTAGGGTCTGATTCTGGGGACCCTGACCTACAACATTACTATTCCTTTTTACAGACCAAGAAACGGAGGTTCAGGTGTTTTAAACTGCCCAAAGTTACTCTCCCAATAAAAGGAAGGAGTTTTGAGCTGATCCAGGTCTGTGTGACTCTAAAGTTCCTATTCCTAATGCAGTGTTACTTTTCAAGAACCTCACACTGAGTTTTAATTATCTAAATAGAAATGGACACAAAATGCTGCAATTGATCAATGGACAGATTATTGCATCCCTATAAGATCTCTGTGTTTGAGGAGAAATAATAAGGGCCATAGGCAGTAAGACCAAACCATGGTGCACCCCCATCAGAGACCTACCTGACCAGAAGTATGAAGACATGTCCCACATTTTAGCAGAGAGTGTAAATGTCCAATGTGATTTTCAGGCAAGGGCTTTCTTCATGCTAAGGTTGAATTGGATTTCTAGATTTTTCCTATTGCTTCTATAACAAACTACCATAGATTTGGTGTTTTAAAATAAATTTATTATCTATAGTTGTGGAGGCCGTAAGTGCAAAATAAGTCTTGTTGGGCTAAAATTAAGGCATAGGAGAGACTATGTTCCTTCTGGATCTCTAGGAGAGAGTTCTGTTTCTTGCACTTTCCTGCCCTCAGAGGCCACCTGAACTCTTTGGTTTGTGGCCCCCTTACTCTGCCTTCAAAGCCAGCAACAGCAGGTCAATCCTGCTCATATTTTATCACTGATTCCGACTCCCCTGCCTCCCTCCTCCAATTTTCAGGACTCTATATCAGGCCCACCCAAATAGTCTCCTTATTTTAAAATCCGATGATTATCCATTTTAGTTCCATCTGTAACCTTAATTTCCCTTTGCCTCTTGATGTTCCTCAGTAGAAGGTTTAGGGGATTAGACTCCACCAAACACATGCACAGAATTGTGCGTTTTATTTGGTATTTCATCAAATTACATTA